CTTAGTTAATACAAACTTTATCTGCATGTCTTTCTTCAGAGCGTGGTATAAATATAGATCTTAGTACATTAATTTTGTAACTAAACATAAAATCAACCCTTAAGCTAGTGCCTAGCTTCAATTTTGGGTGCACAAAAGTGCACATGCACTCAGTATTTTGAGCCCTGTACGACCCAACCTTCTCTTACCCATTGCACTTTGCAACATTACCTGTCTGAGACAAAACAGCAGAACATGTTCTACAGACTGACAAGCAAATGAAAGATTTCACTCCTTTGCGGTTAACTAAAAATGTTAGAAGTACGTCATGTATCTTCAATAGACTCTCTAGACCAAGGTTTTTTGCTTTTTGCATGATTGTACTTTATGACAGATTGGACCACTGTACTTGTGATCTTGAGAAACATGATTGCAGACGACAATTTGGGTCACAAATGGAACTGAGGGTCAAACCCAAGGCTGCTGCAGCAGCCTGCACCAGTCTGTTGACCACAGAAGAAGAGACATTAAGTGCTTCTCAGTGGATCGAAGCTTTGCCCCAGATTACTCAGGTAATCCACCTGTCGTCCTGACGAACGAGGCATATTCCTCAGAATCTTTTAGTTCCGCTACTGTCTTTACCAGTAATCCCCCCGGCATGTCAACTTTGCCATTTCTCTGATTTTTCTTTCTTTACCCCTGAACCATGGATCAATCACAGGTAGGGAGTGGGCAGGACTTTGATTGTAGGACCATAGGGCTGGTTTAGAGTCAGGATCTTGTCTTCTTAACTGAATCGTCTGTCACTCAAAACTGCAGTGCTGAAATGTTCTTGACAGAGACAAATTGTTGGGGGACAGTCTAAGTTTTTAATGGATTTTGTGATGTTGGATATTTTTACCTAGTACATGAAAATGTAAGTTTTGTTTTCGGCCTGTCTGTGTCTGTCTGTATGTGTCTGTCTACATTGTACATGTATGTTTCTGCATACTTGTGGTCAGCATAACTTCAGAACTCCTTTATGGATTGTGATGATATTTGGTATGCTGGTTAAGTTCTTAGGAAGGCAAAGGTCAAGGTCAAATCTGGGCCTCCCGGTGGCTTAGCTTGGTACTTCAGCAGAACTTCCATTTTTTTAATGCTTTGTCCTGAACATGCTACAGTCTTGACTTTTTGGTGACAGGTCAGGAACAAGTGGTGTGGGTTTGGTCCCCCTAGCAGCTTGTTCTGGAACTGCAGGGGAGTTTCCCACAAAATCTTTAAAAGCGGATAAATGAGTTTTCATGATTTTTAACATGTAGATAGTTTAGACAGGGATGTACACAGTAAATTGAATGTAAATTATGTAAATGAGGACTCAATTTGTATAATTCATGAGGAAATGTTTTTAAACCGTCATGGTACATTATAGGCTTTAATAGCCTATCATCTAAACTTCATGACCCTAGCATGTCTGGGTCATGAGATATCAAAATGGAAGTTAAGCTGTAGTACCATAGGAAGCTGCTAGGGGGCCCAAAATCTAATCATTTTCAGGTCTCATCAAGACATACCCACCTACCAAATATCAAGTCAATCTATTCAAGCCTTTTCAAGTTATCGTGTTTACAGACAGACACACACATGAACACCTACGAAAACATAACCTTCTTGGCGAAGGTAATTACAAAGGCTCTAAATATTTTCAAGTAGGTATGAGGTTTCCGAATTCTTGTTATACAGGAATTTCCCTTCCTGGTTTATGTGGCTGTTACATGGCTGAAGTTGTAGTGATCTGATTAGGTTAAACCTGGCTTATAGTGGAGTGTAGCAGTTAGCACAACCATCTACATGTCTGCTGTTCAGCACCAAGGACAGGGACGAATAGGAAGATTCAACTGTTAAAGAATCCTTTTTGTTTTCCGGGAGGTATCTGTATCAGTATAGCCGGTATAACCGCCCTCTGGCATAACACACCAGCTTCTGTATCTATAGCCAGTATAACCGCCCTTCGGCGTAACACACCAGCTTTGGCATAACACACCAGCCTCTGTGTCTATAGCCGGTATAACCGCCCTTCGGCGTAACACACCAGCTTCGCTGGGACGCGGCGCGGCTTGTTACACTCAATCTTTGCACATTTGATTGCCGGAGTTGTTTAAAGCTTTCTAGTGATGATGCCCCAACTGTGCTTGGTGGCAACGAGTTCCAGTCTACGATAGTTCTGGGGAAATACGAGTTTTTGAATACCTCAATTCTCAATTGATATCTCTGATATTTGAAGGCATGACTGTTTCTTGTTCTTTTCTGGGCTGGTATCAGATACTTAGTGGTTGGTACGTCCACCAGTTAATTAGTCATTTTGTACATCATGCACAGTCTGGACATTCTACGTCTGTCTTCCAGCGACCCCCCACTGTAGGGTTCTTTTCATTTCCGTTACACTAGCACCCCTTTGATAGTTCTTCATGTTGTACGTGCCATGTTGTACGTGTGCTTGTGTATGTAATATCAGCCTGCACTGACAGGTGAAGTACCCCTAGGTTGTAGAATTATCATGTTGGAATGTTTCAGTTCATCCCGACTAGTTATATTTTGTTCTCTGACACCGATCTATAATTGATAGTAAGTGTACATATTATGAGCAACTCTTCTATTACTAGCCAAGGTTTGTATATTATAAAGTTGCCGTTGGTTTATGAACTGCTATCCTGGTAGTACACAACTTTTCTTGTTTAGATAGAGCAGTGCAGTATATTCCAAGCTAAAAAAAGGCTTCCGAACACTACATAAGGAATTGAAAAGGCCTCTGATGTTCTCTGTTGTAAGATGACTTACTGGCTATGGATCCATTGAGATGGGTCAAAAATCAATCTTATCCTCTCTCAAAGCCACAGCCTTGAGCTGGAAATTTGTTCCATGCCTATTTGGAGTCCCGAGCGTACTGTTTTCGAAATGCCGCACAGTTCATAAACATGTGAACCAGTGAACCAGATAGCAATGCATATTCATGAGCCGTATTTTGTATGCTGACAACGCTTCGTTTTTTTTTGTCTCGCTCTAAGACTTCATTCTCAATGAATAATGTCATCAGAATCACAATCCGGTATCTGTAGTCAGTCACAATGTGTTTGTCTGTGCGTGTGTGCATATAGCAACTCATGCCTTTCCAGCATCTGATTGTACACGGTATGTGTCTGGCACAGAATATGTGACTTGCATTTAACGGTGCACACCCCAGTTCTTCCGCGACCGGGGTCCGTGGTAGTCCGTGGTAAAAAAAGTGACGAAAGGGTTTTTTAGGGTGCAAGTTTGAGGTGATATTTCTCATAAATTGCCATGAAATATCATTAAAAAAAAACATTAACATAGCTGAAGAGTGCAAGAAATGGTGATTTTGGGGTGAAAATTTCTTTTGGCTCTGAACCTTACTTCCGGGTATCCTTGCGCGCCAAGTGTAATCCGCCCGTTTGACCTAGATTTCACTGTGCGCCTTTCTACATGTAGGAGTGGATTTGCAACCCCTCGCACCGTGGATGGTTTAAAAAATTTCAGTACTAGAATTTTCTTTATAAATTACTCGGTTATAGTCAAGGTTAGGGTCTTTCTGCCAGCATCAGTCATTTCTGCCGGCAAATTTTTTTCTATGGGATGATCCTGCGTGATAATTCGCAGTTTTGCGCATTATTTTGGAATGAAAAATACTGTTTTTTCCGTTGATTTTACGAAACTTAAAAACTTGGTGGAAACCAAACTCAGCTGGTCTTGTAGCTGAAGAGATATCCTTTCGTCCCATATACAGTTATTCTCCTTCCGAATTATTCCACAGCAGAGACGGTCGCTAGATTTGAGGGTGTGCATCCTCGAATAGAAACGCCAAATAAACTGGGGTGTGCCCCCTTTAGTCATTTTAGTATAGATGTACAACTGTGCTACTGCGTATACTTCCATCTCACTTTCCCCAATTGTTATCCGTCATCTGGTATGTACATGATGTATAATACTGTTGATATTAATATTTGTAAGATATATACATACAAGAATATTACACCTTTGTTCAAACTAATTTTCTGTCTATTCTGTGTTAAAGAAGAGAATGATACAGGCAAGAAAATTAACTTTCTGAAATACGTAGTTTTGAAATTCTTAAATCAATTACAAAGATGAGAATTTGTAGTCATAAATTGAATATAGAGTTAGGAAGATATTAAAAAATACCCTGCGACCAGCGTTTTGTCCACTCTGTCCTAATAAGATCGAAGACGAGCAACATTATGGATTGTCCACTGTATGATGAATTAACGCACAAAGCTGTTAAACCTTTTTTCTCCTTGCTTAACATTATTTATTACATTTCAAGCTATAGATAAATTCAATTTCATTTTAGAAGGTAATAATGGTACCCTTGCTGTGTACAAATAGGTAAATATATCAAAGAATGTTTAGACCTTAGATCAAGTACTGTAGTATAAGTTGATTCATCTATTGTTTTGTATGTAGAGCAATTTTGTTGTACCCATGTATCTGTCTGTATGTTTACATGTAGTTAAGGACTTTACGAAAGCCGCTGTACTTTTGTTGTGTCAATAAAGTTTCAGTATATTACATTGTCATGTAATGTCAAGGACATGCTTAGAGGAGCTGAAAAAACATAGATTTCATTTCATTTATTTCGAAACCTTATAGATTATATTATTTTTATTAGATGTTCTTAATATGTAATGCATTACATCTACTCAAGTTGCATAAGTCTACCAGGTAACATACATGTTAACATGCATCAGTTATTCTATAATCTCCGAGGTCTGAACACTTCGTTAAGATCTCCAGAGATCTCCGGAGATCTGAAGTGTAGGCCTTTTAAAAGTAAAAGTAGGCTTTTAATTTCACCATTTCTATATGAGGCAGTCGGATGTCATTTGGTTGATATTAACTGAAGCATGTGACTGTATTCTTTTCATGTCTTTTATCCTATATGAAAAAGGCAAGAAATTTGAAGGATTTTTTGATTTACACAATGTGTATTGTTGTATTTTCTGCAGGTGCATCGAGCATGCGTTAGTAGCTGGTGGTGATCGTGAGCTGTGATTGGTCGTCGGTCCGATGTGGCGCGTGCGGCGAAGGTTCCTGCTGCTGGTGTTGTTGGTGGGCGTTCCCGTGGTAACGGTGCTGTACCTCGGCCTAGCACGTTATGGTGAGTAGGTCATTTATTACCTTCGCCAAGAAGGTAATGTTTTCAGTAGCGTTTGTCCGTCTATTTGTTTGTGAACAGCATACAACAATGTAACTCAAGAAGCTTTACATGCATTGTCATGAAACTTGGTAGGTGGGTAGGTCTTGATGAGACCTAGAAATGGTTAGATTTTGGACCCCCTGGCGGCATTTGTTGGTACTGCAGTAGAACTTCCGGTTTTGATATCTCATGATCTGGACATACTAGGGTCATGAATTATTTAAATCATGACTCAATTTGCATAATTTATGAGGAAGTGCTGGAATAGCCTTTTTTTGTTAAGATAAGGCTGTCATTGGGTGGAGAATAGGATCAACTGATATAATCAGTGCAAATGAGGCTCATATTTACAAAATCACCGAGTAAAAACGTATAATTCGTCCACCGGATTTGGCAAAGGTATGAGATCATGGAACTCTTGTTATGATGGTGAACCTACGCAGAGGGGAGGAGACTTCCTTCTGCAGATTAGGGTTCTGTTATTGGTCAATCTTTGTTGTTCACAGCTAGAACTCGTGGTGGGATTTCTGGACGGATTTCTTTGGGTCTCAGTATGTGATTAGGTATTGGGGTCCGGATGATGTGGATTGCATTAATTACCTTCGCCAAGAAGGTTATGTTTTCAGTAGCGTTTGTCCGTCCGTCTGTTTGTCTGTGAACAGCATAACTCTAGAAGATTACTATGCATTGTCATAAAACTTGGTAGGTGGGTAGGTCTTGATAAGACCTAGAAATGGTTAGATTTTGGGCCTCCTGCTGGCTTTTGTTGGTACTGCAGCAGAACTTCCGGTTTTGATATCGTGATCTGAACATGCTAGGGTGACGAATTTTGAATGACAAATAGCTCTTGGGCTAGTTTTTTTTGCATCTGTGTTTTTGAGTTCGAGAATATATTTGGACGACCTCTGAGTCTGAACACCCCAGGGTGTGCACTGCTGGCAGTGGGTTACGTTTTATGGCTTCAGCTGTTGTGAAATGGTCAGCCGAAATTCGTCGTGGTTCTACCTGAAATGGGTGCATACCCTTTTGTCACTTTTTTAACGCGCACTACGTACCACAGACCCTAGTCGCAGAAGAGCTGGGGTGTGCACCGTTAGGTTGTAACTTGCAAGTCCTGGTGCTCCTAAGTAAAACATTCAAGGCCGAGGCAATAAAAACCATTGCCAAGGCGACGACTGTCCATATGGTGTGGGGAGAAGACAGATGACCAGTAATTAATCATGCCAGGCAGCTGGATGGGTGGCACGTGGGCACAGGGTGTACATGTAAGTTACCTGCTTGATCCAAAAACCACATGGCCGAAGGTTACCTCAAAACCGATTCCCTAGGAAATGCATTCGTGCAATTTTTGAAATTCTTTCAAAGTGATCGCAGTACTTGCACAAATGCCTCCGCCCCAAAGGCGTCGCCAAAAAGTCTGGTGCCCTGAATCGACAACTATTCTACATCCCTCATACTTGAATCTTGTCTTTACATATTTCTGTCATTCTATTCACATTTTCCTTGTCCTCCATACAAAGCCCACCACCATGATTACAGCATACATGTAGTATCGGCATGACAGTGCGAATTTGCATTCCGTGCCAGCTACAGTGTAATGGCTGATTGGATCAGCGGCAAGCAATTGACTTGGTTCCTCCAAGTCGGATATTGGATTCAGCGCTATGTAATTGACAGATTATCGTGGAGACAAGTAATTAGATCAACCAAGAGAAAAGCAGCCTTCAGCCCTCCTTGTTTTTATGAGCAGACAGCAGCTTAATCAGATTTGGCAGGGCAGAGACAATAAACTTGTCTGGAGCAAACTAGCTGCTGTTCCAATCAAATCTTAGAAACCAGACCAAACAAGCTTTGGCCATGCCAATTCTTTTTCTTGGTTCTTGAAGATTTATTTTATTGCTGTTGTCTTTTAACAGGGCTTTTCCAGTGAGGTTATTGTTATTGCCCTGTTTTTTTAATGGTATCACCATGGTAACCAGTGCTGTAGCAGACACCCTGTGGTGTTGGGTTACATTATGTAGCAAGTTGTAGGGGCTGGTCAGTTGCGGTAGTTCGAACACATCCAAAGCCACAAGAGAACTCCAGAGGCACACACTAAAGAAAAAAGAAAGAAAGAAAGTTTGCTAAAGGCAAGACCATGTAAAGGTTAAAACATGCTTTTTTAATGCTTTAAATTAATGTTACCTTTGCAGTCTTAATGTTTCTTGTCTATTGCAAAGGTTTGTCATAACAGTCTCCCTCTCTCAGATACATGTAGACATACATACACTGTAAATGTAAGACTTGCCAAGAGTGTTTAATTCACTTTGTAAAAGATGACCTAAGCAGTAATGAATAACCTTTTTGCTTGAGCTGGCATTTGTGTAATATAATACATACGCAGAAGTGCCTCTCTCAGGGCACTCGTTCAAGAGGAATGAATAAAATATGAAGAAAGATGAAGAAGATGCAGATATTGTACATTTGACCCTGGCATCTCTCTCTGTAATGTCTGAGCTCTATCAAAGCATTAGAAGATGATTAGATATCTTCCAGTGGTAAATTCAATCATCAGTCAGTGTGTGCAGATATTGGAGGGAATGCCAAGTGGACACATAGACAACTATGGCCCCCTGTGAGGGTGACAGGGAAACTTTCTTTTGAAGGATTTCCTATCATATATGACTTGTGACTAATGAGTTCATACAATGTATACACTTTATGTTTTCTACATGTAGCTCTTTGAATAATAGAAGCCTTTTTCACATTGCTGCTTTAGCAATCTTTGCTTTGAATTTTGTCTGAGGCAACAGAAAGTTACAGACCCAAGACAGTGGAAAGCCAACTCCCTACTCTCTACACTTGACTACTGCCATATTCCCTTATTACCTCACAGAAAATACCAATGAAGTGCAAAGGAAAGGTCCTCAAAATATTACATAATTTGTGTTGGAAAAAGACGTAAAGACTCAGTAGAATTATAGATTATGCTGATTACAGCCTTATTGTCCTGTGCTTGTCTCTACAGATGGAGTCAGGAGTTCCTCCACCAACCTGCTGGGTTTCAGCAGCCGTGAGCAGGTCCTGGCAGACAGGGTACGGGAGGTGGAGCAGCAGAACCAGATGCTCAGGAGACAGCTAAGGTGGGTTCAGAAACAACGTTAACCAGGACACAAAACATTCTGCTGCAGTACCTAAGATGTCCACTACAGGGCGCGAAATTTATTTTTGGGATTAGGCGCACTGGTGCACCCAACCTAAAAAATTGGGTACACAAAAAAAATTTTGGGGTGCACCATATAACATAGAAAGAATAGAAAAGTACTTCTATAACAATAATTTAATTACCTTCGTCCTTCGCCAAGAAGGTTATGTTTTCAGTAGCATTTGTCCATCAGTTCTGTTTGTGAACAGGATATCTCAAGAAGCTTTATATGCATTGTTATGAAACTTGGTAGGTGGGTAGGTCTTGATGAGACCTGGAAATGATTAGATTTTGGGCCTCCTGGCGGCTTTTGTTGGTACTGCAGCATAACTTCCATTGAATTGGGTGCACAGCTCCAAATTTGGGTGCACTAAGGTGTACATGCACCAGGAGGCCAAAATCAACCAATCATTATAATTTATCATCACATTATCATCTTAAAGGCATCCAATACCATTTCAGGGTGGCAAAATTGTTATTTTCTTAGTCAATTTTCTTGTCATTCATTTACAATGTAATGTATCAAGTTGAATCAATCGTATTTCATAGCATACAATTGATTCAACTCTGTGAGGCAAAAATGTGATGATGAAAAAACGGGTGCTTGGTTCGTATCATAGGCTTGTTCTAGCTATTCATGGGCAGTACCAAAAAAAAAGGTGCATCACATAGCTTGTCTTGGGGCTAAAACTATGATGAAAATGTGCTAAGAGATGCCAGTACACGTACACTGTATTTATCAATATTCAGATATTCCTTGTTTTTCCACACTGAAATTGCATTGGATGCCTTGAAGTTATGCTGACCACAATTGCAAGTATCACCCTCACACAGACACTGTCAGACACTCCAAAAACAATACTTCCATTTTCATGAAGGTTCTTTTCAGATTGTAGATCAGACACAGCACTTGAGGATTTGTCTGGTTGGTGAGGGAAAAACGAAAATACACTGTAGTCTGAAACTGTGAAAGGGTGGAGTGTGGAGCCAGGCAATCAAGCATGATGATGTTTAACTTAGCAATATGTTAGGCAGAAATGTGAAAGTGTGTGGTAGTTAGGCAATGTGCAATGATAGCAGTGTTTGAAATAATCGCTAATGTGTGGCGCAAGAATATTTTCCTTGGTGGTGCCATGCTGAAGTTGCATTGGATGTCTTTAATAACAATCAATCAATCTTTAACGAAGCTTTCTTCAACTTCCAGTGGGATATCACAGAACCAGGTACAGAATGTGAACTATGTAGACGGGATCTACACTCAGAACGCCAGCACAGACGACTCCGACACAGACACAGGCAACAAGACAGACTGTGTGGTGGAGGACCAGGTGCCCAAGTGTGAGGTCTGTAGTGCTCTTTAGCTTTGTTCATCTGAAATCACCCAAACCGCGATTTGGGTAACTCGCATTCCTCACATCTGGTCCACGTGCCACACATTCCTTTGAAACCGTGTCCAATCACAATTCGCCTGAGCTACATTTATTGTTGTTTGACGAAAACACGCAAGGTAGCGTGTTATTAATGTCAGAGGTCAACGACCTGCTTGCTGGTGCCCCCCTCCCAGCGTATCTCGGCCGAATGCCGACGTGGTCCCTCCAGAGGCGGTGAAGCTCATCCTAGAACGGACACATTATTTGACCATCACTGCTCTTAAAGTTGCTGACATGTAAAATTTGGTATTGCATATAAATAAAGAAATATCACCCTGTAATCCATGGACAAGTGAAGTCATATTAAAATCACCTTGCGTTCAGACGCAAATCGCAATGCGGGAAAACCGATTCGAAACCACCTCTAGAAGTGGTTTGGGATCGAGGCGCTTTCAATGTGATTTGGAGCGTTCAGATGGAGCCACTTGAATTGAAACCGGCTTCAGGGTAAACCACATGTAAAGCGCCCTCACTGACAGCCTTTAACTCTGGCCTTACTAAATACATGACATTGTACAGTTAATCCTGCCCAAGAGACCAGTCAGTTTACCCAGAAAATCTGGTCTATCATCCGTGAATAATTTCATCAGGTTGGTAAGTCACCGGGAAGTTTATTCAGCCGCATTGCAGATGCTGTTCCCTAGGCCTGTAACCGTGTAGATATGTTTATAATACTTTGCATTGGGAATGCATCAGATTCTATTACAGTGACACCTGTACATGTGCTGTGCAATATGATTATGAACCAGTCAGAATTGCCCTGAGGAAGGTGACAGTCTTCATGGTCAGCTGATTCAGAATAAACTCCTGGTTGTGTATGTAAAAAGAGCCTCTTCGTTCCAAGCTGGTCTATATACTAGTACATGTCTACTAGTATATACATGTATGTTGTCACTACATGTATAGACAGGAGTCCTAATCTTTAATTAGTTAATGCTCGTGTCAGTAGGAAAAAATGACTCAAGAAATCTTAATGGGGGCCCGCAAGCCCTTTTCCGTAGAGCGTAATTGGCCATTTTAATTCTACGTAGAGCGTAGAGGGACCGCTCTAAAATTTTTGCGTAGAGCGTATTCAGCGTTTTAATTCTACGTAATGCGTTGTAGCCACTTGGAATTTATCATAAAGCGTAATCGAGAGGTTTCCGAATTCAGCGTAGAGCGTTGTCGGGCCCCCCCTTGCAGGCCCTCCTTAATGTTGTAATTGACATACTTGTTTCTTCTTTCTTCTGTCAGACTATAGAGGTAGCGATAGTGTGTGCTGGGTACAACGCCACTCGCGGGGTCGTGACCCTGGTCAAGTCCATCCTGTTCTACAGGAAGAACCCGCTACACTTCCACTTCATGTCCGACAGGGCCGCCACCCTCATCCTGCAGACCCTGCTCAGGACGTGGAACGTTCCAGGAGGTCAGTGGCTTCTACAGGACTCTTCCATTTAGAATCTAAAGGACAGTGCCACACCCATTGGCACTGTCTAGCCCCCTCTCAGCTCTTCTTTCTATCTTTTGTTTCAACAACTTTTCCCCTCTCCAGTCTATTTTGTACCAAACTCATCAACCTTTGATTTTGTTTTTTCATGAAATACATGTAGTGTTTGCAAGTGACTGAATATTCATGTATCTCATACAAGCAAATTATGGATGGTTTTATGATCTGCACAGTCATGCATACATGTACATGTACATGGCTTCAGAAGTAACAATTACTTCATCTTTGCTTTCAGTAACTGCAAACTTTTATTCTGCTGAAAATTTGAAGGTGAGTGCCATGTTAGACTTAAAAATGCATGTCCAGCTGTTGTAAATTTGTTTGACAATGACTGTAATGTTTGTAACCAATTTTAAAATGCATGCACAGGTTAATATGGAAGGAAAAGATTTAGATTTTAAAGTCATGTATAATTTTGTGCCATCCCCAAGGGTCGACAGATGATGATGATAATTTTGTAATGGTCAATTTTACTTATACATGTGTACTTAATAAATATGTATAAAGAGGAGAGTAAGATTGTTACCAGATTTATCTTGAATTTTTTTTTCAGCCATAATGATTTATTAAATAGATAAAGTTGTTAAGTCTTTTTAACTGGATAATTATCCAGTTGGAAAAAAAAAAGACTTAACAATTTTATCTATTTATCGTATTCCTGGATGAGTAACCTTCACCAACGTATAATGATTTATTGTTACATTTTTGTATATCCCCCGCAGGAGGAAGTATCGTGGATCCCCAACAAACACTACTCAGGAGTGTACGGCCTGATGAAACTGGTGCTGACCAGAGCTCTGCCCACTGATCTGGAAAAGGTACGTCCAGTCATGAAATGTCACTAAACAGAACGTACATTCATACTGGTTGTTAAATGAGTGATGACGTGCAGTGTAGACTATTATAAAGTAATATTCTATTATTGAATACATTGAACATGAGATTATACTTACATGTACAAGGTCCCAAAATGATCCAGCGTGTGCCATTTTACAATGCACAAAGAATGTTGTGCTGTCAAAATCATTGGCAAACAGACCAATATTATTCCTCAGAGATTTCTCAAAAAAACAGTTTTCCACCACATGCTTGAAAATAAAGCGGTCATAGGCATTCTGGTCCCAAATACAATGTACATGGTGTACAGCTGGTCACGGTCATGTTGGAGAGGTGGTCCACGATTTTGGGGAATAAATCTGGACCAAGATAAAGACACACTCACTCACTATCCAGAATTTGATTATACTGCTGCTGTTGTTCCTTCCACAGGGGTCGGCAGCAGTCGGCTAGTAGTACTGGTCTTCACACTGCACCTCCATGCAGCCCTATCCAGTGGGTCAACACCAGCAAGGCCGTGCTCTCTAATGTCTTTCTTAACACACGCTGTCCAGGTCTTTTTTGGTCGACCTCTGCTGCTAGGCAGCTGCAGTTCAATGATAAAGACAGTGGTCATTATTAATAGATAGCCGGCTTATAGAGGTGGGCACTTCATATAACTCTTTACTGCATTCCCCAGGTTATCGTGCTGGACACAGATGTGACCTTTGCCACAGACATTGCAGAGCTCTGGAAGATCTTTAAGAAGTTTAAGGGGAAGAAGTCGATTGGTCTGGTGGAGAACCAGAGCGACTGGTACCTGGGGAAGCTATGGAAGAACCACAGGCCCTGGCCGGCACTGGTGAGGCTTACAGGGTTTTCTTATTTCTTTCTTTGGTTTTCATTTTTACAAAAAGACTGCTATAGCACACATTTGCAAGAACAAAGCTGAATCCTTATATTAGGAAACAGTTACAATGTAGTAATTAAGGCCACACCAATTTAATTTGTTGTTTCTCAGATTCGCCCTGTCCATTTTTTTCTGATTTGTAAAAAAAAATTTTAAGGTTCTGAATCAACTGCAAAATGCTCAATGAAAGACATATTTTGGTCCCAACAGTTGAAGAAAGTCCCCTTCTTCCTAGTTGTTTAAGTTTTTCAATGTAACATAATAACGCAAGCAACTTTGTTTCAAATTGATTCAATAAAATTTAAAAATCGTTTTGGTTATAAACCTGCATTGTATGTTGACTTTGCATTTCCGCCCTTCATGGGGTTGTCTTGGCCTGTTTTTTTTAGGGTTAAGGTTAGGGTTAGGGATAGGGTTAGAGATGGAGATAAGGTTAGGTTTAGGGTTTGGGATAGGTTTAAGTGTTAGGGATACATGTAGGTTTAGGGTTAGAGTTTGTAGAGTTTGGGATAGGGTTAGGGATAGGGTTAGGGTTATGGTTAGGTGGTACATGTAATGGTTAGAGTTAGGGTTAGGTGATACATGTAATGGTTCTATGTCTGTTTCAGGGTCGTGGGTTCAACACAGGTGTGATTCTCCTGCACCTGGAGAAGTTGAGGGGGATGAAGTGGATGGGTTAGGGTTAGGGTTAGGTGGTACATGTAATGGTTAGGGTTAGGGTTATGGTTAGGTGGTACATGTAATGGTTAGAGTTAGGGTTAGGTGATACATGTAATGGTTCTATGTTTGTTTCAGGGTCGTGGGTTCAACACAGGTGTGATTCTCCTGCACCTGGAGAAGTTGAGGGGGATGAAGTGGATGCAGATGTGGAGACTGACGGCTGAGAGGGAGCTCATGAGCATGCTCAGTACCTCCCTGGCTGACCAGGTTAGTCCCATGCTATCAAATTACTTTTTTCTTTGAATTTTTTTTCAGTTTTCCATGGCATGAGACATTTTTATACAAAGCACATGTACAATATACCAGTACTGTGCAATTAATTTGGCAAAATGATAATGAAGTAGAAACTGCCTTGTACATATAGCAAACAAGGCAATGTACATGATAGCAGACTCCACCCTCTGACAGACTCTATAGAGACTGCACTGCTCCCTCTGACAGAACAGATAGAAACTGCAGCAGTGTAAACATGCCATAAACAATACTTCTCTTCAGGGTGAAGTTAAATCCTCTCTTACAGTACTGATGATACTCATAGAGAATCAACTCCAGTACTGGATACAAGGATGTATAAACTTCAATAACGTACATGATTTTTAGTATTTCAATCCATGCTTTTGTTGTGCCCAGGACATCTTTAATGCAGTGATAAAGCAGCACCCATACCTGGTGCACAAACTGCCCTGTGCCTGGAACGTACAGCTGTCTGATAACACCAAGAGTGAGGTGAGAAAACTTTGTTTGTTTTACATAAGTGGCGTCGGATAGCGTAGTGGTTAGAGCATTCGACTGTGAACTGGGAGACCCGGGTTCGATCCCGAGTCGTACCCGGGACATGTCTGAACATGCGCCCCGACGTTGTGCCCTTGGGAAAGGCACTTTACACGACTTCTCACTCCACTCAGGTGTGAAGGGGTACCTAATTTTGGTTGGGGAAAGTTGTATTGATGTCACCTTTTGGCTCCGATTGGCAGCCGTACAGACCCTCGTGGCAGTTCCACAAAAATGTGAAACAAATACTAAAAGTATGTATCATGTGCATTATGTGTATTATTACCATTTGTATCATCAGATTCTGATTGTAAAACCTGCATCAGTTCAGCACTATAAGGCTGCGATTGCACGGGTGATGTTTGGCCAATAAATTAAACCATTTATTATTATAATCGGTAACCTGCCTGTAGGCCCTTAACACCAGGATAGTAGCAGGTACCAGCTGTGTAAGACCAGACTGTACAGTACAGATCGCGGGATAAGCATCATCGGGATTCGGGATTTTGCGGGAGATCCCGCGGGAGTTTGCGGGATATCACGCGGGAGACTGCGGGATATCCCGCGGGAGTTTGCGGGATATCACGCGGGAGATTGCGGGATATCCCGCGGTATTCTTTCGGGAGGCCTGTCGTGTCCCCGCGTACCGCGTAGCGAAAAAACTTGGTGCGAGACCCCGAAGTCTGCCGCGGCTCGGAACGGCGATGGCGGCGTGTCAAATGTTTATTTTTACGTCCTGCCGGGCGATCTGTGCCGGGCCGATGGAGTCTGACGCCAGTCAACTTTGCTACAATTTTGCTACAATTTTGATGGTGTTGAAGCATAGGAATGTACGAAAATAATGTGTATAAGGTGTTTCTCACGCGGTCATAGTTATTATAAAACTGCTACTTTTTTTTCAAA